AGCCCCACCCCCGCCCCGCCCGAGGCCGCTGCTGCTGCTGCTGCTGCTGCTGCTGCAGCAGCAGCAGCAGCAGCAAAGCAAGCAGCAGCAGTCGCGAGCAGCGTAGAAAGCCTCGTGGGCGCGCTGCAGCTGCGCGTGGCCCAGGGGCGGCAGCGTGCTGCGCTGCACTTCGCCTTGAGCCGCAGCAGCAGCAGCAGCAGCAGCAGCAGCAGCAGCAGCAGCAGCAGCAGCAGCCGCTGGCTGCTGCTGCGGCAGCACACTGCCTTTCTTTGACTGTGGGGTTTTGGGGCTTTCTTCCGGGGCTTCCCCGCATGCATGCAAAACGCATGCAGCAGCTCTGCAGCAAAAAGTCTTTGCAACTTTTCGCAGTTTTGCAACTTTGCTGTTTGCTGCCAAATTCCATTTCGGGGCTTTTTAGACTTTTCCATTTATGCCCATTTATTCAGTTTCCCAAAACATACTTTCGATTATAATACCCCGAAGACAATATTGCATGCATGCATGCAGCCATGCATGCATGCATGCATGCAGCCATGCATGCATGCAGCCACGCTTGCAGGCATGCATGCATGCATGCATGCATGCATGCATGCAGCCATGCATGCATGCAGTCATGCATGCAGCCATACCTGCATGCATGCATGCAGTCATGCATGCATGCAGGCAGGCTGCATTGCCGGGCGGCCTCGGGAGGGGCCCCCAGGGGGGCCCCCAAGGGGGGCCCCAGGGGGCCCCCCTCAAAGTGGGGGCCCCCTTTAAGGTAGGGGTGCCCCCCAGGGCCCTCTTCAACACAGACTGGGTTTTGCTGCTGCTGCTGCTGCTGCTGTTGCTGCAGCAGCAGCAGAAACGACGCCTTTTGCTGCGCTGTAGCTGCTAGTCTGCGTCTAGGAAAACCTAAACCCTAAACCCTAAACCCTAAACCCTAAACCCTAAACCCTAGGTCTGCAAAAGATGCCAAATGCACTTCTTGCTTCGTTTATTCTTTTAAATGTCAAGTTTAAACAACACCGAACAAAATTTAAATAAATAAAAGGGCACAGTAGTATTGGGCGCTGCGCGGGGGCCCCTAAAACCTCACGAGGGGGCCCCCCTTGGGGGCCCCCAGACAGTTAGGGGGCCCCCAAGCCTTAGGGGGCCCCCAAACCCTTGGGGGCCCCAAACCCTAGGTGATTCCCAAACCCTTGGGGCCCCCAAACCCTCGGGGGCCCCCGAAGCCTGGGTTGCTTCCAAACCCTCGGGGGCCCCCAAAACCCTCGGGGGCCCCTGAACCCTCGGGGGCCCCCAAAACCCTCGGGGGCCCCCAAAACCCTCGGGGGCCCCCAAACCCTCGGGGGCCCCATATGTAGATAAATGTATATATTATATAGATAACATATAAATGCGCATTTTAAAGACGGCTGCTGCATGCGAATTAAACTTTAAGTGCAATAAATACAAAATAGATTTGGCATTGCAATTAGCAGCAGCACCTGCTGGGGTGTACATACACTGCAGCGCAGCAGCACCTGCTGGGGTGTACGTACACCGCAGCGCAGCAGCACCTGCTGGGGTGTACATACACCGCGAAGAGCAGCAAAAAGGCAGCAGCAGCGCGGCTGCCTAAGAGCCTTAAAATGAACAATAAATAACAACAATAATAACAATAATAATAACAATAATAATAACAATAATAATAATAATAATAATAATAATAATAAAATAATAATAATGGCAAGAATGGCAAGAAGAACAGCAGCAGCAAACCGCAACAAACCCACGCAGCAAACCCGACCGCGCCGCAGCCTTTAAAAAGACCCGCGTGAACTGCAGCAGCAGCAGCAGCAGCAGCAGCAGCAGCAGCAGCAGCAGCAGCAGCAGCAGCGCCGTCGTCCCCGTAGTGCCCCGAGGGGGGCCCCCAGGGGGCCCCCTGGGGGGCCCCCAGGGGCGTCGCATTGGCCCCCGTGAAGGCGTCGTGGGGGCCCCTAGAAGGGTACCTGTCGAAGGAGCTCCCCGGGGAGTGGCTGCCCCCGTGGGGGCCCCCGCGGGGGCCCCCCTGGGGGCCCCCCTGGGGGCCCCCTGCCTCCCAACTAGTAGGGTACGGACTGCTTTGCCACGCGCCCCTTTCCCTCCTGCGGGGGCCCCCAGAGTCCCCTGCATAGTGGGGGCCCCCCTGGGGGCCCCCCTGGGGGCCCCCCGCATCCTCATAGTGCCTGTGGGCCCCGGCGCCGTCCCCCCCCCCCTGGGGGCCCCCCTGGGGGCCCCCCTGGGGGCCCCCCTGGGGGCCCCCCCTGAAGGGGGGCCCCCCCCGGGCGAAGGGGCCCCCGCCCCTGCCCCTTTGCGCAGCCAACTTGGCCTTCCTTTCGAGCTGCTTCTGGAGAAAGGTCTTCCCAGTTGCTGCTGCTGCTGCTGCTGCAGCAGGCTCCTCCCCCTCTGCTGCAGCAGCAGCAGCAGCAGCAGCAGCAGCAGCAGCAGCAGCAGCGGGGGCCTCCTCGCGCAGCAAACCCAGCCAGTCCTCTCCTTGATGAAAAGTATAAAGTCTTTGAGAAAACCCAAACTGAATTTCGTCTTCATCATCCAAAGAAATGGATTTATTTGGCGCGACTTTTCCGCCGTTCAAAAGAGTGCCGTGCGCGCTGTTCAGGTCCGTCAGGGTGTACGTACACCTGCGCCCCTGCTGCTGCTGCTGCTGCTGCTGCTGCTGCTGCTGCTGCTGCTGCTGCTGCGGGGGAGGGGGCTGCTGCTGCTGCTGCTGCTGCGGGAGTTGCTGCTGCAGCACTCAGAGTGGGGGGCAAATAGACTTGTTGGTTTTTAGTGCTGGTGGAGTGAAGGGCCCCCCCAGAGACAAACAAAGGAGTGACGGAAGCAGCAGCAGCAGCAAGGGCCCTTTGCTGCGCCGCGTACCAGTCGCTGCGCTGCTGCTGCAGCTTCCCCCGGGCCCCTGCTGCTGCTGCTGCTGCTGCTGCTGCGGGGCCCTGACACGCGCCCCCGCCGCCCCCGGGGGGCCCCCGGGGGGGCCCCTCGGGGCCCCCCGGAGAAGAGGGCGGGGAGGCCTCGAGGGCCCCCAAGTCGTCCTGGTCGTCGTCCGCAGACATTGCGACGGGGCGCGCGGGCGGATCGGCGGGTTTTTCGGGGCTTTCGAGGAGTTTAAACGCGCAAACAAACAAATATTTGCAAAGTTAAACTGTTTAGAGTTTG